TGTCGTTTTACAAAACGGTTCTCTGCAAGATTAGCAGTATATAAAATTAAATTTTGAACTGATTTTCATCGGCGTGGCAAGCTGAATGTCATGAACCGTGATAGCTTGATGATGGTGATGATTCCTGCTATAACAATAAATACTAAAAAAAAAAACAGTATAAAAGAATATTTAAGTAGGGCTCCCATACACCAGACGTAATTTTTTGTCGTTTTTATAGTTAATGGTTACTTTCGCTAACGAAGGATTCCATTCCTTCGTTGGCGAAAGTATTTCCCAACGCCCCGACATGTATCATTTTTTTTACACTTCATTATTAAAATTTATAATTAGCATGAAGTTTTCATAATTTAATGAAGTTATAATCAGACTGAAACACTACATTTTTTATATTTGTTTCAAACAAAAGACGACGAAACTCAAAATGAGGCAAAACTTTTTCCCGCCAAAAACATAATCTGCACTGTGACTTGTTTCTTAATGTTTTTCACTTTATTTAAAATGAGTTTAATGTAGTACATTAGTAATTGCACTAATTTTAAACCTAAATAGCTTTTTATAATTGCAATACAAAAAAAATTACAAAAAAGTGAACAAGACCCCAGTTTCTTGCTGGTTCTGCTCTGTACAAGTCTAGTTTAGTGAACCGGTGGTAGTTTCTTTTTTACCTTCAATAAATGCCTAAGTTAAGCCTATATTGAATAAAGATATTTTGACTTTGATGTGAAAACTAATCAATGGAACTAATTTCCTCATTTTTATACAATTATATTACTGTTTTAATGCACAATCTATGGAATTTGTTTCTGTTTATCTATTATCTATCTTATTGTATTTTGTTTCTTTTGTTAAAATCTAATTGTTACGAGTATCTATGTATAACATTCTCGTGACACAATGTTAGTTGCCATACTCCACTGAAATGGTTTGATCGATTTTCATCAAATTTTACATGTACATTTAGGTAGGTCTGAGAATCGGTCGTGATCTATTTTTCATACTCCTAAGTGATTAGGGTAAACCTCGCAAACACTTTTTTCTACCCTACAAATTCCCTAGAAATAATTTATATGGCAAAACAACGTTTGCCGGGTCAGCTAGTAATTATATAACGACTATATTAAGCTTTTGCTGCCTCGATTGTTGGCTCGGGGAAGTACCACAATATGATCACCCTAAGGTAGAGTCTATATTTACTTTAGCGTTTCTCTCACTATATTGGCTATGGTTGGCAACCCAACCGTAACGCCACTCGTGTTTTGATTATCCATGTGTGATTGCAAACAAATATCACTGTGAAGTACGGCTATTCTAGGAAATATAGCTTTTCTTTTTAAGTTTTTATGGAGGCCAATAAAGCATTTATACATAAATAAGAGGTGCTTCCCATTATGGTTATCAAAATGTTTTATTCTTTACTAATTATTAAACTGTTCACTGTGTGTCTCTTCCTAACATTTTTATACGTTATCTGTGTTGTGAACTAATCGCATTATGGTTAGCTGTTCGTTTTGCACATTGTTACAGATTTCACATCAAACTAACAAGACAGACAAACGAAATAAAGGGGTGAGTGGTGATTCCCGTCAGTGTTGGTTTGATGTTGTCTGACAATGCTACTCTGTGTGTATATAGTTTAGTGCACCCGTATCCTAAACGTGTAGTATAGTTACCTTACACCGTACGCTGAATGTCTGTTTAGTCGATTTAGTATACTGTGTACTCACTATGCGCCTTTGATTAGTTAGTTAAGCTGTTACACATTAGTCTAGAAACTATTCACCTTTAAAGATAATCTTAGCGCACGCTACTGAGACATAAATATTAGTTTCACTTTGACCTAGATATCTACACAGATCATTCTAGAAATATACAGCACCTTCTATATACAATATATTATATCACAGTAAATGGTGTTTGGAGGGTTTGTATTTTAAATGTAATAAACAGATATAAAGTAAAACATTAAAGGATTGATAAATATTTTTAATGCATTCGTAATTATAGGCATAGTTATAATAATAGGTATTTCCATAACAGATAGATTTGCTTATTCTTTACTCAGCGAATAAAGGTTTTTGTGTCAGCACTGATAGCAGATCTGATAATTTCATGATCAGGGTTAACTGATTGAATCCAAAACATACGTAAAGCACCATTAAGAAACATAGTCGTAATTTATAACCATCCTCTATACATATCTAACTATCTAGAAATTATTACATGTTGATAGTTATGTAATATAATTACATTTTGATAGTTATTTATGTAATATTGTATGTATTCTCATATCTATCTAATATATCTCATACTAGATAGATATCTTTATCAAACCCTTTTTATAATGCAGCGATTGCAAACCAAACGTTCTGAACTGTAGATTTTACTTTTTAAATTAACCCTTTTTGTATATTGCCTGTATTTTTCTTAAAAATAAGAATAACATAAAAAGTAAAAGATATAGGTACCCTGCATTCAATGGCCTACATAAATTCAATGCCCAAAGTCTCTTGCAATCAGCGATATCATTGTGGTACAGCTGTAAATTCAGAAAATATTTTCTGAGAAACTTCTTAGCAATAACCACGTACTAGAATTCGTAGTACGGCTACGCGCTACGCTCAATTTGTAGAACTTTTCATCGCATTTTGTCAGATTAAAGATTTTATTTTTCTACAACTTAAGCCGATTTAATCTCACGGTAATATATTCCAAATATTAAACGGTTTATTAAAGAAAACTAGAGTTAAATAAGAGAGTTTTCAGTCAAGACAAGGCAATACACAAACTTTCCGATTACGGTGGTTCATAATTATGTAGCAATGGAATAGATTAAAAAAAATTGAATACAAATATTATAATATACATGAATAAATCGTTTCAATAAAAGTAAATCAAAAAAACTATTCACCGTTCGTTAAACAGAAAAATTCATTAATACTGTACTATCGTTTAAAGTCTGATCTGTACTTTAGCAAAAGACTCAAATAGCCTGTGAATTACTTGAATATTATGTTACTTTATTCAAAGGATGATTTTCGCCGTAAAATCAAATGTGACCGGTTGCAAAGTACCCCCTGTGTAACTTTATCGCGTCGGAGATTTTTTTTTTTATATTTCGGACCTTAAAAATGATAATTTTACGGGCGAAGCGGGCGACGCTTTTATATCTCGAGATAAGATCGGGTCGTAAGGAGGTATAAATTTTCAAAGCCCTCTAGCTGAATGCCCTTATAAAATATACATATTTAATGGTCTCCGTGAGATGCCGGAGCTTTCATATCATCGTTATCGTGTTGCTTTGAAAAATTCAAAAAAGACTTTAACTACGTCATTTACCATCGCTATAATACTCGAATTTCATTCCTAAACCAATTAGTCGTCGTAGTAGTGTCTACGCCGAGAATTCATTTTTTTTTTTATTTAAAAAACTGGCTATCACTTGACTGCCATCCCACCTGATGGTAAGTGGCGATGCGGCCGTCGATGGTGAGCGCGCTAGCTCAGTAGAAACCTATTCACTCTTGCCTTGAAGACGCCAATGTTGTTCATATAGTTCATAAACATTTCATTCCATTTTAGGTAAATGGAATTGCGATATCCTCGATCCATCGGGAGAAAATAATGTGCATTTGTCCATCAAACATTTCGTAACACACAATGAGAACAAGCCCTTGTAAAAAGTCCATTTTTTTATTAACGAAAAAAAAACCGACTTCAAATATCTCTCTCCGTAATCATTTTATAATTGATTTTAAGGAGTAACGTAAATATCTCCGGAGCCCAAGATCCAATACTAACGAAATTAATATGGGACCACATGGGAAGCACACAAAAAGGAATCATCAAAATCGAATCGTTCACTCAGTTCGAAGTTCTGAGGAAACAAACATAAAACAATACAGTCGAATTGAGGACGTCCTCCTTTTTTTAAGTCGGTTGAAAAGTAGGTTAAGACTACCCCAATCATCTGCAGAACCGTAGAAGTTTATAGTCTCGTCGTTTGCTTTTTTACTTTGTAGGCCCTGGCTGTTCGTATGCATTACATGTATGTACGTTTGTTTGGATGTTCTAAGTATTGATGAAAGTATACGTATAAAATTGGCGGCATTTTGTTGAACGATCATTTTCAATATTATATTCGAGAATTTTCTTGAGAGTGATCTTATAAGGGTTCCCTTTTTACTTTTCAATGTACGGAACCATATAAATGTCGTGATATGTTAAATATAATGCATAAGGAGCGGAGATGTGGTGCGTTAATTTGTACGAGACACACGACGCGTTTTAAAAAATTATAATTTGATGTTCGTAGTCCAATTTCGCCTCGATGATAATGCCGCGCTATGAAAAATAGATTTATATCCGCTTTGGGTGAATAGAATTACGTATACATGCATATTGAGGACAAGCATTAAAAAAAATCGGAGCCCGGTTCTTGGAAATAGAATTTGTTCGAACAATGAAATTGAAGTCACCAAGGATATACTTATTCGGGTGGGATGTTTAAAAAAACCGTTTAAAATAAACAATTCAAAATAAATTATACTGCAACAAGAAAACTAGAATAGTTTTTTTTTTTTGAAAATATATAATAATAAAATCCAATAATATTTGCGCCAATATAATAATTTTGTAGTCTAAAATTAAACTTCGTTAGCCACTTACAATAATCTAATAAAGACGAAGACTTCGGGACAGTTGAACCAAGTCAGCTTGTCTCACTTCTGACTTTTTATTCCACTATTTTGACCCTCAGGTTTGGGCAGGTTCTACTTAAGTTTACAATAAAGAGATTGGTAAAAGATAGTACTGAAAATAATTCCATCAGTGTTAATTTCCTTTTAATTAGTACCTGTGTATATATTTGTGTACGTACATTTATAGCATGGAATTGCGGCTTGTAGCGATTCGTAACGGAGTCTGCGTTAAAGGGCTTTTAGTTATACAATCGCGACCAAGGCGCGAAATGACGCGTGGATCTGTTTCCATTGTCGCAGGATCACGTGTCTTCACCTGCCGCTGCAGTCGAAATGGGTGCACGTGGGCACGGAGCGTGGCAACGTCCACGTGGTCAACATCGAGACCTTCGCCCTCAGCGGCTATGTCATCAACTGGAACAAGGCCATCGAAGTGTGAGTACGCCTATATTTTACTACAGAAACCCACTGTACTTACTTATGCCTTTTGAGCTGAGCCCATACGTGTTGTAGGAACTGACCATTCAACGTACGACTAAGGAAAAGACCTTAATTTTTGTTTTAAGATTCTTTCTTGGTAAATTTTTTGGGCATTTACACAGCGTAAAGTCGAAGAGCTACGTTTTTAAATCATGTATGGCGATATTGTCTACAAATTCGCTAATTTCAATTTTGTTACACCTGAATGATAAAACACCAGTTGACTTTCGATCTTTGATAATTAAAGCATATGATTCTGTACAATACTTTGCACACAAGTAAATTTCTTTATAAACGCCTTAATAATTGAATAATTTTTGTGTATAACAACACCGGGACACTGGCAACTGAGCAACGGAAGAACGGAGAGGACAGGTCGAGCGAAAAATTAAGAATGATATTTATTATGATATTTCATAAATTATCGCTAGAATCCCTGCTTCTCAAAGTTAGATCATTCCCGAGAGAGCGAATAGAAACTTTAAAGTTACAATTTTATATATTTAAGTTCGTAACGCCTATAGACTACACTAATATAATCTTACAAATAAACAATTGAAAAATAAAAGAACTCAGTGCATACATAACTTTAGTTAAACATCAGGTACATCACTGTGGTAGGGCCACGCAAGAGTCTTTGCTGTTGCAGGAATGGGCAGGTCCATCCGGGGAAGTATCACGACCTCACTGAAGACCGGCGTTAAGTTGGATTGTTCTACTTCTGCTTTTCGTCTGGTGAGTGTCGTAACCGGTGCCCAGTTTAAAGGTGGCAAAGCATTTGGAACATCACGGTCGTCACAATGTCTACCACCTTTTCACATAAAAAACTAATATCACATAATAATTTAAAACATACGATACTTTGACCTCGTATAAAAGAAATGTACAAATATTATGTCTAAAACTAGCCGAAGCGTCAATGAATTTTTATATTATAGCATAAAAAAAGCCACTGTGGGGGAAGTAGAGGTTATATCGGTCCTTCATAAAGGAGACACAAAAATGCTTACCGTTTTCTGGGGTTGCTGAACCTTTAAATTAATACCTTTGTAGAAGTTCAGTATTAATCGATGTACTTTCCAAGCAGCTACTACGGGAATAAAAGGTCCCTACGCTTTTCTAAGGTAATATTGTAAAACATTTTAGCCCATCGGAGTAAAATGTTACCTGTTTTGCTTTACCCACAAAGTACGACATATGTAAGAGGGTTTCTGTACCCTTTCCAGTACGAGACAATGTACCACAATGTAAAACAATGATTGTATTCAATAACACTTCACATTTTAATAGTAGTACTTTTGTTTTACTTTATCTTAAACGTTTTCCAATTCTCGGGATAAATTTCGTAGAATGATACTTGCTCCACGAAAATTTATTTAATTAATGTAGTAGCTCTACACAAGTGCGTTTGTTATCGAAAATAGTGTAAATGTTAAATGATATCTTTTATTTATTGCACCGTTTTTAATACATTCAAATGATTAAATTCAAATGATTGAAATTTTATACATCAGGTATACGATTAAATTAGACTAGAGACTCTTAAAAGCTGTATTCTGCCGTGGCCCAGTAAAATTAGATAACCGCAACGAGATATTATAGAATGGTATTTATTGTTAGTGTCCCCAGCAGAGCAACAGACATTTTGTAGTGCTTGCCAGTTCATATTTATCACATTAAGCCCCCGAACACAATGCCGCTGCGACGTGCCGGTTTCTAAATTAGTTGCTAATTATTTACTCGACGCGGAGCGTGAGCAATAAAGGTGTTAACGGTGTCTTCATTAAGCGATATAACTATGAAGAAGCGAAGCGACGTAATGGAATCGCCTAGACGGGAGCTTTATAATAACACCTACACAGCATTAACTGTAAAATGCCTTCAGGTCTTAGTCCGACCAGACCGAGGCTGCATACAGTTGGTAACAAAAGGCATTTTAATAAATCGTGACTAAACGAAATTGGCACTAAAAGGAATTTTGATAATTCGTGGCTAAACGCAGTTGGCATTAAAAGGCATTTTGATTTTGAAAATGGTCTGGTCCAAGTGGTGAAGGCGATCTTGAATCTTCCGAAGAACAATTTTAGTAGGAAAATAAGATAAAAATTATGCTGAATTTTCAACGCCGCCGCATTACGTCAAACGCCAAATACTATAATCATTAATACCATTAATACTTAATGCTTAGCAATCCATCACTGTGGCACCCTCCGCTTTGGCAGTGCCACATGTAACAACGACACTGTCGGCGATGCTAATTACCATGAAAAAACTGCGGTGTTGTCTGTTCCCGCATCGCATACATCTCGTTCACACCCAGACACTTGAAAAACACTATTTTCATCACACAATATTTTTCCAGTAGTGGGGATCGAACCCACACCCTCTGGCGCAGTAGGCAGGTACACTACTCACTACGCCATTCGGGTCGTCAAAATGTCGACCCGCTGGGCACAGGCCGCCTATGTACAGAGAGTATTAGGGTAGTACAGTACACCACGCGACCCCACTGCGCATTAACGAACTTAACATATCTTCGAAATGTTTTTCGTTATTGATTCGAAAATATGCACGTTTCATTGGTGATATCGTCCTGGATTTGAACTTGGGCAACTAGATAACATTAAATTAGACCGACAGAGAGCTATAACGGCTCTAGTCCTAATCACTAAGCACTCGGTAATTGTAATTATGTTCCGTTTCGCAAATTGGACCACAAATCATTCCGGACACGAATTAATCGGTGTCCCCGAGAGTTATGAGTCGTCGTTCGACTCAAATTAACCACGATGAGGGCCCTGAGGGGGGGGGGGGGGGGGGGCAATGGTGGGGTGCTACGTTTGCCAAACTCGATTAACGCGACGCCATCCGAGATGTAGGGTCGCATTAATCAGCAATTACAACAACAACAACAACAATAGAGCAAACATCAATTTATTTGCTCCATCCCAAATTGTGCCTAACAGGCGCAACATTCTTTATTTCATACATAATTTATGTTCTCATCCATAACGCCGATGAGCAAATTCCCTATTTCACATTTACCTACTCACATTGGGTTACATACGAGACGTTTACAAACGAGTTTATGTGTTCGGATAGATAAAAGCTTGGGCCTTTTATGCGTACATGTTTACGGATTACGTACCTATTGGCCGCTTTTTAAGTAACCTATGCGTCACTTTGTTTTATCTATATATATTAATACATGAAGCAGAAACTTTGTACCCCTTTTTAAGAAAATTGCGCGATCGGAGGTGTATATAACTAAATAATTTCCCACACTTATAGTTTATATAACGACGGAGTGCAGAATTCTAATATTTTTTTTAATTTTGCTCTTAAAATTCGCAATTGCTATATTTGATTATAAGTTTTATTCGTTATTTAATGCCACGTGGTCTAGGTTTATTAGATGTGTTATTTACCAGTATTTGTAGATATTTTAAAAATAGTTTCATCTTTATTTATAAAGCTTTCCTTTGTCCACAAACCTCAAAAACTAGCCGATGGATTGTCTTGATATTTGTTCACAACACAGCTATTGAACAGATGACTGTTTTATATACTTTTTATTCGAAAGTTCAAATGGAAACGAAAAATAAAAACAACGAAGCGTGATCGGATTCAGCTATAGTTTAAATTTTAATAACATTAATTATGTTCATTGTTAATTAAATGAAACTATTTACGAATTTAATCGCGTTTATTTCAAAAGTAAATTTCCGACGATGCTGCAATGCATTCGATTAAAAGTCATTTCATTTATTTTATAATTTGTTGGAGTTAGTGAAGGAATTATTAAGTGTATTCGTTTTTAACGTAAATGAGTACTTTAAATCGTAGTGAAATCATTATTCAGCAAAGCCAGAACATAGCAAACAAATACTAGAATGACGCTCGAGGCGGGTTTTAACATCTCTTACAAATTACCTTACGATGCCTCTAGATGCTTCAAATTTTGCTAATTATTACTTGCGGCCTCAATTAACAGCTTTCCCGCGAAGAGTTGTCCAATTATCACAGCTTGTTTTACGGTGTCCAATGTCTAATGATCTTCCTGCAAACACAGTAGCGGAACAAAGAAGTTTTAATAAAATAATGTTGCAAAGCTTACTAATTGTTCGCTTTAACAACTTTGTTTAATCAACTCTAATTATTTAAGCAGATAATTGCCATAATCACTAAAGATTTAGACATCCAAAAGGGGATCTGAATGTAGATTCTAAAGGGTATACAAGTGTTATATATTTAGTAGTATTATTAATATATTTAACATCAGACGAAATCATTTGTACATCCTGCTGCTGGTGTCAAGTGTAATGGTTCTTTTCTCGTTCGAATGTTACGCGTAACTATTCAGTGAGAATATACTGCCAGCACTCTTGGCACAATGCCACGTGGACTAGGTTTATTAGATAATATGTAATTTTAGTTCGAATTAATGTTGTAACTATTGGATAAAATAGATCAGACTATGACCATGACAATGAGTTGAATTTGCATCAAGGAAGTAATGGTTTGAGAAGATGTTTCAAAGCATTATACATTTGCTTTCGACATTAAGTGTCCCCAGATGCTAATAGCCGAGTCTTTATAGTTCAGCTACAACCCTCATAATGATTTTATGCTTGTACGTTTGCCGTTTTAACGACTTGACCTGTTTCCTCTGACCTATTTCCATCATTGTTGTTTACTAAAACAGCTTCCTTTGTGTTAATTTTATTGCAGATCTCAGTAACTTCAAATTTGTGATGATCATTTTATGTGTTTGATACACCGGTAAATAGTATTCTGTTATAGTTTTCATTTGCTGGTACACTGCATTCCCTAAATATAATTTTACTATGATCTGGATATACAGCGTGTCGTTACCATCGCGACAATAAATGAACACACGTCTAACGCTACTTGCCAATAATCATAAAAAAAAATATTAACGTTAAACAAAATCC